TAGTCACCACCTATGTTTGGAGATAGAAGTGGCCAAGGTAAGGGCATACTCACGGACTGTGACAAGTGTCAGCTCACCTAGCTTTTTGGTCAGAGGTCTAGAAGAAGATGGAGAAGGCTGGGGGAAAGCAGGGGGATATACTTTTGGAGGGCATATAGTGTGGGGATCTTTTATAGCACATAATGCCCACTAGAGTTTCCACTATAGATGCAGCATTAACCAGACAGGTTGACAGGGTGCTGAGGTCAGTAGTTGTCAGACAGCCTTTATGGTTACCCTAGTTCTTGCACAATGGACTCATGAGTGCAGTACACTGGTGGCAGAGCTGGGGCTAGGCTTGGGACAATCAGCTTGTACTCAATTCAGTGCTGCTGCTGTTGACTGACCTGAAGGCAACAGAGACCAATGTTGGGCTCTCAACAAGGCCCAGGAGCTGCTGGGTTGCACATCGACTGTACTGGTTCCTTCCAACTGCAAAGTACTTTCATCAGGACTGGCTTTGACAAGCATGGGTTTGCTCTTTCTGTCCACAGTGCTTCACCACTATCCAAGGACTCAGAGGATGTCTCATATGCTGACATAGGATCTCACATGCTGCGGAGACCTCAGACTAGGAGACTCACTTTCCAGCAAGAAGGTACTAGACCAAGAGTGGACCAAAGACCTGTGAAAGCCATAAGTGAGACTCCGCCTTGGAAATAATACCTTGCAGTTAACTCTTTAAGCCACTGGCCACTGCATGGTGCTGTCTCCTCAGTTCATAGTATACATGGATACTGAGATTGAGGTGAAAGAATCTTGCCCTAGGCTGGACACTGTAGCAGGTAAAGCCTTGGAGGAGGAACCAAGAGGCTGTATCTTGAGGTCATCTTCCCCGCCCCTAGGAATTTACCTGTGGCACGAAATGAATTCCAGTGGGCTACCGGTGCATCACTAACGCCCCTTAGGCACCACCCCAAATCTAAGCTACATATATGCCTCCACTCCATGTGTCCGATGGAGAGAATACCAGCCCCCAGAGACAATGCCAGACCCAGAGGGTCAGGGGGTCTCTCCCCACATTCTTAAAATAAAGGTCATTTATATTTCATACTTATCTTTTCAGCCATGCCAAAATTCTATCAGAGGTTTATTTTAAAGTGGACATGCCCTATTCACCATCTCCCCCAGAGATACATTTGGAGAATTTGTTTTCTTCCTGCAAGTTTAGGCCCTACTAGCCTACAGGTCCTGATAGGTGTGGGATACTCCAATCAGAGAACATAGTAAGAGATTAGAGTTGTAGCTGCTCTCTGGTGACTGCGGGCTCCTAATGCTGCAAGATCAACATGCAAACTCTCAAAAGGAGGTGCCAGCTGGTGCTACATAGTAAGGGGGGAGGATATATTGAGTACTCACAGATTCACTGAGCAGGCCGTGGTATTCCCTAGGGGGTTATAAAGAGGCAAGAGCAGCAGTTAATAACCAGGGATGCATGCCCAGTTCAGTGTACCAATCAAGTCACTGCCTGTGCAGAAGAGCTAATTGAAGTGGAGGGGAATCTAGGAAAGGTGATAGAGATAACGCATATCAGTTACGGTGACAGGACCAGCTGCAGCAGTGGGGAATACAGCCCATTCCATTACCCTCTTCATATAAAACCTTCCCCAAAATTGTGACTAATAAGAATTCTGGAAAGCCAGGCATGATGGCACATGCCTTTAACCTCAGCACTTAAGAGGCTGAAGCAGGAGGATTGCTGTGTGTTTGAAGTCAGCCTGAGCCAAAGAGTGAGTTCAAGGCCCACCTGCACTACAAAGCAAGACCCTATCTCAAAACAAAACAAAAACAAACAAAACAAAACAAGATTCTGGAGAGGTTGGGCACAGTGGTACACCCTTGCAATCTCAGCTACTTCGAAGCCCAATGAAGGAGGATCACAAGTTCAAGGCCATCCTGAACTTAGCAAGACCTTGTCTTAACATAAAAACTAAGTGTGAGGTCCAGAATTCAATTCATAGCACAAAGAAAAAAAAAGGACCTCTGGAGAAATGTGTCAGAAAAACACCATATGAGAAACATAGGATCCAGGCAACATTGAGTGGACAAAAATTATCCTGCCCATCCATATCCACTTTATAACACTTTGTGGATCTACGTTCCAGCTGCTGTTAGTGTTGGATAGCAATTCCAACTGCCTGCTTCTCTAGAGAATTTTTCTGGGCTAAAACAGAAGCCTCTTCAACCTTGAGGCCTGTTCCTGAAGATCTCACCCAAAAAGAGACTGGCACTGAGGAACGAAACCTGGCCTTTTATGGGCAACACCTGGGAGTGAATTTTGTAGGATGCATGGAGGCTCCTTCCTATTTCTTATTGTCTTGATCAAGCCTGTGTTCTCCTTTTCTAGAGAGCCCTCATCTAGTAAGATGCTAAACAAAAATCCTTGTTTCAGGTCCTGTTTCTGAATCAGCAACACAAGACTGGTTACTGAGGATAGTTTTACATAGAGAAAAGGACTAAAATCTTGTAACGGATAATGTACCCAACACTCGTATGCTTCAGTTTTTTACTTGCCCAAGTAATAATTCCTGTTGCAGTTTCAGTTGCTTGTTTCCTAGAAATGGCTACACTATGCTGCATACTGTAAGAACCAATCAAAGACAGCCAAGCACTCTATCTCTGTACTTCTCCTTTGCAATCCCATAAACCTTTGGCATTGAACCTCCCTGAACCTTTGGGGCCTGATATTTTGGGAATGATTCAATCAATGCCATCAACATAAAATAAATCTGCCTCCAAATCGTGGGTGTCCTTTCAGTGTTTTTCTGCCTGCTGTTGCACAATAACATGTTTCATAATGATCCGTGAAAACATTATGCTAAGTGGAAGAGGCCAGAAGACCACACCATACATAATTTGCCTGAAATGTTCAAGGGTCCAAGGATATGGCCTGATGGTACAGCACCTGCCTGAAATGTTCAAACAGGCAAATATATAGAGACAGAAAGTAGATTAGTAATCACTAGGGTTTTAGGGTGGGTGGGGCAGGAAGGAACCACTAATGGATGAATTACATATCTTGGTTCCAAATTTAATGCCTTCCTTATGCTTCAAGTTTTGTTTTGGCTTTTGAAGACAGGATCCTACTATGTAAGTCAGCCTGGTGTCAAACTCATGGTGATGCTCCTGCTTTGGCCTTTTGGCTGCTGAGATTACAGTAGTGTACTGCTGTCCCTGGCAAGGCTTTTCTATTTACTTAACAGTCTTATTATTCTGGTGATAAGTAAACTTTAGTGGTCATTTAGAACTACCCTTTCATGAACTTTCAATTTTATCCTCATACTTATTTAATCATCTCTGTATTAGCTTCTCATCACTGCGACAAATACCTGCTACACACAACTTAAAAGGAAAAAAGGTTTATTTTGGCTCAGTTTCAGTGATTTCAGAGCATGGTCAGTACCTCCAAGGCAGAAATATCATGGTGAAAGGGAAGAGGAAAGCTGCTCAATTTATGGTATCAAGGAAGCAGAGGAAGAGTCAGAGAAAAAGGGGCCAGATACAGTCTCCAAGGGCCCACCTGGACACACCTAGAAGTGTGCTTTACTGATCTTGGCATCTCTAAAGCCAATCAAGTTGAGAATGAGGAGTTCATAAATTCTTGAGGAACTTCAAGTAGCTCCAGAGTGCAAGATCAGCCAGCAAAGGGGATGTAACAGAGTTTAACAGATCTCGTAGACTGCTTTACTTACAGGTTTTATCATCTGTATCAATAGGCTGATTCTTTATAAATGCCCATTTATTACCTTTCTACACTGACACTAAGGCCTGCTTCTTGTTTGTTGCCCTGGCAACCAGCAAAATGATGGGGATGTTGTAGCTCCTCAAAAATTAACATAATACCTGCAATTAAAGCACTCCAGGAGGGCAAATCACTGGGGACCCCTTCTATCTCTCTTCTGCTCTTAACCTCTGTTGTTCCTAAAATTCATTCTTTGATCTTACAGAACACAAACTTGTACTGGACATGTAGCAGGTTGGGAGTTTCATTTCCCTGTATCACTTGGAGGTGTTCCACTGAGATGGCCAGACATAGGCAACTCAATGCCAAAGCCCCTTACTACTCTGAAAGGCATTGTTAAACACTGGAAGATGTTCAACCCTTCTATGTTTAAAAAAAAAAAAAAAAAAAAGAAGAGCCACTTGATATTTCTCTGCACATATGCATGGCCTACTTACCCCCTAGAACCAAAATGGAATACAGAAACTTAAAGCTGTATGCCTACCCAAGACAAAACACCAGGTATCTATGAAAAGCCTTTAGAAAGACCCTCTGCAAAGTATCACTAACTGCTGATCACCAACTACACACGGCCATTCAGCCTGAAGAAGCCAGATCTGTCATCATCCTTCCTCCCTCATGGCAGTTCGGGTTTTCTTCAGAGAGGGGACTGTTACTAGCAGCAATCAGACAGAGCTAGGTCCTCTAAGAAATGAGTGCAAATTTGGAGACAGATACCTCCCTCTGTGGGCCAGACCTCAAGACAAAAGATCAAGCAAATATACCCACATCCTGGGGATTGATACTCCTAACAGTTCTCTGTCAACCTGAGGAGGCCAGGAGTCATCATCCTAACACCCTATAGAAAGTCACTGCTCTGTATTCATGCCCACTTGCTATGTGACTCGCTTCCCGATTTGTCCCCATTTAATCAATTTTACACTCATAATCTTATTGGTTGACCATAGTTTTGTCCCACCTCACGCCCACCTGGCGAGTTCCCACATCTTCTCCACCTTAGACTTGCCTCACTTTGTGGCTTCGCTCTATAAAAGTGCCTAGAAAAGACAGTCTTTGGCAACCCACTTGAGACCCTCTTCTGTCTGTCAGAAACTTTCGTTCTCTCAATAAATATATTCTGCTTTTAAAAAACAAAAAAATAATAAAGCACTCTGGGAGGCTGAGGAAGGAAGATGGCAAGTTCAATACTTTACTGAGTAACCCGACTCTGTTTCAAAATACAAACGTGTGTTAGGGCAAAGGTCCTGGGCAATCCCTCAGTATCACAAAACGAAAATCAAAATGACGGGACGCAGAATGAGGTCATTTGGATGTCCGGGGTGGTACGCGGAGACTGATTAGTCAGGATCTTAACTAAAGGTAAGTTGTGTATGTCTCACATCTCAGAAAAAAAAAAAAAAAACCCAAAAAAACAAAAACAAAAACAAAAAACAGGAAAAAGAACGCTGGCAAGGTTTAAACTGCTTTCCCTGCGGGAAAACCTAAACTAGCAAAAGAAGCACAAACACGGACACTTTAGATATACTAGGGTTTGTAATTTCCAGGACCCAGAACGCACCACCGATAAGGGCCCGGCTGGGGTTAGCACGTTACACAGGTTAGTAAAGAGAACAGGATGTCGGGTGGCACTCTCGCCAGCCTTGGGTAACAGGCGACACCAGGCGCAGAGGTGCGTGGAAAGCAGGTTGCGCACCTCATTGCGACGCGCTCGGAGCAGCGAAGTCCTTGGACTCTAGGGGGCTCTGTAACCGCGCCCTAGGGAGGACGGAACGGGGCAGGCCGGCACCGTGCCTCCAGCCGGACGCCATAGCCGGACGCAACTTCCGGACGCACTCACGAGCTTCCGGCCCGCTGCTAGTTTCTCCTCAGATGAGGCAGCCTAGCCGAGGGCGAGACACAAAAGTTAACGCTTAGCGCGTCTCTTCAGCGGCTTACTCGCCAGCCTCTCCTCCAGCACTAAGGACGAAGCCAAGCTGCAGCACGAACTTCCAGCTTCGGGGGCGCAGCGGCCTCCGGAGCCGGCAGCCCCTTCTGCGTCCCAGCCACAGCCCAGGTGCAGGCGAGGACAGTCGGCCACCGAAGACTCTGTTCTCTGGAGGCGGCCGCCGAGCTCTCGGCGAGGTGGGTTGGCAGGGGCGGGGACTAGGCGGAAGTTCTGTCTCCCGCTACTTCCGGAAGATCCAGCGGAAGTCCATCCTTTCGGGCGGTCCCGCCTCTTTTTTGATTGGTTAACTGCTCTGCTAATGAACTTCGCTGGCTGCTGATTGGTTCAGACGTGTCGCCTGTCACCTCCCTCCCTGTGGGAATCGTGGGTCGTTGAGGAAAGCGTTACTTTGAGTCTCCATTGAGAAGAGGTTGGCTGGGTCCGCGGTCCGGTTTGTTTGTTTTTGTGAGGCGTGGTTTCCCAGGTGGACCTTCCTTCTCAAGTCGCGAAAAGAACCAGTGGCTGGACGGGCGTGTGGGGGTGGGAGAGGTTGGGGGAAGGAACCAGAAAGTGAAGGTTTAGAACTAAACCGGAGTCACCCAGCCCTGCCTACGTCCGAATGGGACCGTAATAGGAAGGCAGGCCGTGGAGAGAGCAAGGGACGTAATTCCAGGAGCAATGACCGCCTAGGAGGCTAGGCTTGAATTTGCTGTTCGAGAAAAGTCTTGCGGGAGCCGTTTTATGACCTAATTGTATGGCGATATTATTTTAGATGTGTAACAAAACGCTCTGGAGAGTTCGCTTTGACTTTCTTGGTATCCAGAGGCAATTTTTTTTAATAATTAAGTTTCCTTTATTGCTTCAGATGGGCAGCTCTCAAAAAAGGCACAAACAACTGAAGGATGGGTACCGTTCCATATGTTAAAGCGTGTTGAAAGGAAAATAAGGTATTCACTTTAATTGTGGTTAAATGTACAAGAATAAGTTTGAATAATATTTGAATAACTTGATTTTGTGTTAGGTTTTGGCTTTTTAAACTGTTAATATAAAAATCATCCTACTGCTATGCCTGCAAAATATGGTCCTTGCGTGTTTACAATCTCGACTGTTCTAGAAATGTACAGTCTTGAGTTTTGAGTAATGTCATTAGCATTTGAGTGGACATTGTTAATAGGTGTTTCAAAGTATACATAACAGCCACTATATCAATCTTGAATTTGTTATTTAATGTAAGACTACATGTGAACTTGAATATTTGCTTATTCCCATTTTGGACTCCTGGGCCCACTTCACTTTTGGACAGCATTACTAAACTCCTGGTGTATTTCTAGTGGTAGAGGTGAAGCAGTTACTTTCTTGGCAGCGTAGTCATTTGAACTCCAGCTTCCATTGAGTAAGGTGCTTCATTACACGTTCCCCTTAGTGACACAGGAAAATTTTTCAAAGAATAATTTATTAGATCCACAATTATCCAAATTAGGTAGTGATGACAGGGACCCACCTTGAAAAATTATAACTAGGAATTGGGCATGAGGTCTGGGGATCTAGATTTTTTAAAAGGCATTTTTCTGTTCAAGTGTGAAAGTTTGACCATGACTTGCTAAATTGATCTGTTTACAGCATTCCAAAATATTTATATTTACATAGTCTTCTTCCTTGATTTCCTTATAGTTTAAAAGTGACATTTAAATGTAATCCAAAAAATAACATTTGTTTCAAATATCAGAACTTTCACTGGCACTCAGAGATATCATCCCAGCCTGAGTGATGAGGCTGGCTAGGATGCAGCACAGTGCTCTTTGTACTTTCACAGTCCTCAGAGCCTGCATGGTGCATGATAGTGTTCCCTGTTGGGTTTCAAAGTCTTCCTGTTAGATTTTAAGAGGAGAGCACCTCAGAGCTTCTGCAGTAGACATAACAGGGTTAGTTATTCTTACTTAAAAAGTAGTTTGCATTATTACACTTATAAACCTTATTTTAGAAGGAATATCTTACTAGAAAAAAAATGTAAATTGTACTCTCCCAGTAACCCTTTGCTTTTTAGGTAAAGAACATGCATAGTTCCAGCCTAAAATTTGTTTTTTGACATGAAATAATCAAGATAATTTAAAACAAACAAGGGTCTTTAAAGGGATCAACTTTACCAGAGAGTTAGTTAAAGAAGTTTTGTTTTTGTTTTAACAAGATAATCATTTTGGTATTCAGAAGTGAGAAATATTTGTTCAACTCAAATTAGGTCTGACTAAACAGTGACTTTAGGCAAAGTAGTTGGTCCAATTGTGTGCTCTGTCATAGAAATTATTTTTCATTTTATCAAATTCCTCACTGTAAGATTTGACAAATGAAGTTATTTGAGTAGGAAACAAAATTTAACAACAACAAAAAGTCTGAGTTAAAAATGCAAAGCCATATGTAGTCTAACTAATTCCTTGAATTTTGGGTATGTTTGAACAGGAAGCTAGGAGCCTCAATATGAATCAGTCTAGATCTAGATCAGGTAGTGGTGGTGAAGAAACCTTATCTCAGGACCATAATCATCATGAAAATGGGAGAAGATGGCAGCAGGAACGCCTCCTTAGAGAAGAAGCCTATTACCAGTTTATTAATGAGCTCAATGATGAAGATTATCGGCTAATGAGAGACCACAACCTTTTGGGCACCCCTGGTAAGAAACGGGTAAAAAGAGGAGACACTTTTTTTATGAGTAAGAGGCAAATTTCAAAATAAGGAGACATTTATATATTTTTGTGAGTTTAAAGGGAAGGGGGGGGGACCAAGAGATGGAGGGAGGTAAGAGGGAGAAGAGAGGGAAAGAGGATAAAAAAGAAAATTCAGATACATTATATATGTGTGTAACAATCGCTCCCCACAATGAATGTAATCATTACATACTGAAAATCTGTACTACTAAAAAAACTTTAAACAGTAGAAAATCCCTGGTTTACTTTTTCTGTATTTTATATTTTTTTACTTTTGTGTAAGTAGTTAATCATATGAGATATACAGATGCTAAAATAACAGGTTGATATGCACAACATGTTCACATTTAAAGTTCACATGTTAAATGTTCACATTTGTAGTCCTAGTTCTTACATAATATTTGTACAAATAAAATATTTAAGCCCCATTTCTAAGTTGAGGTATTTATTCAGCTAGATTAATTTTAAAATCTAATATGCTCCATGAATTTTCACAAATTCATTTTATAAATGAAACTAACTGAAATTGCTATCTTTATATATTGTATGTTGAAGGCCCATATAATGAAATTCAAGTAAACAAATGCTTAACAATTTTCTCTAGAAAAATTCCCTTTTTAATTTTTTTTTACCTGTGACATAAATGTACAGAATTAATAGCTCATAGATTCTGAATGTATGGACTGTGTCTTACCAATTATTCAAATTTAATATTATTTTAATAAATTCTAATAAAATAGTAATAATCCTTAACCAAATGGAAGTGTATTTTTGTCAGTTGTAAATTTTAACTGTCTTCACTTACAGAACGTGAGAAAATACTAAGACATTGTCATTTATTGGTGGTTAAAGAGTAATCTTAATCTTCAAGAATTCTCATAAAAGTTAATAATTTAAAAATTTTAAATAAGCAGGATTTCACTGTTTCAGGAGAAATAACATCAGAAGAACTACAACAGCGGTTAGACGGCGTGAAGGAGCAGCTGGCCTCTCAGGCTGACTTGAGACCTGGGACAATTAACAGAGGTACTGTTGAGCCCTTTCTGTAAGGAACAGACTTGACTGGAATAGTGGTAGGAATGAAAATACTGTATCTTACATGTTTATTTTTAATGTTTTCCAGCTAAAGTTGCTCTTTGTTTTGTTGACTTAGCTTTCAACTTTAACTGCATTATTTAAAAAAGTATTTATGAGAGGGATTTCGATAATGAATTGAAACTAAAATCTCACTTAATAGTTATTTTTGAGAAAAACTCTAAAGTTAAAGTCTGTAGTTAATGTGCATCAAAATGCCTTTCATTGTGTTTGTACTTCATGTGATTCACTGGTTACAAATATATATAACTTTAGGCTTGGCACAGTGTCCAGGTCAATTGTCAAATTGTCAAAGAAGTTTATCTTGGATATACTGGTTGTCACATTGATTCATTCAACAATATTAACTGTGAGTCTGGTTCGTACCAGATACTACTAAAGAGATACTATTAGAGATTAACCAGTGATTAGTAAAAAATGCTGAGCACAGTGACATACTTCTAGAATTCCAGTAATTTGGGAGCATGAGCCAAGAGGCATTGCAAGTTCAAATCCTACTTGGTGAACTTAGCGAGACCCTCAAAATTAAAAAAAGTTTTATTTTTTTTTTGGTACTGAGGATCAAACTCACAACCTTACGCTTGCCAGGTGAGCGCTTATGCCACTGAGCTAAATCCCTGGCCCTAAAAAAATTTTTTTAAATGACTGGAATATAGCTCAATGGTGGAGTTCCCCTGGGTTTGATTCCCCATACCATTTTAAAAAAAAGATGAAAATATTTGTCTTCATGAAGTTTACACTGTAAATGTATTTATTGTGTATAGTAGTTAACATTTATTGAATGTTTTCTATGTCCCAGATATAATGTAAATTATTTCGTATATAATGCCTTATTTTATCCTCTTCAGAGTTTGATACTATCTTCAACTTACAGACTAAGATACAACTATAGATAAAGTAACTTGCTGTAGTCTTCTGGCTTCACACAAGGACAACTAATGTGGTTCTAACAGTATATTCATAGTAATTTCTTGAGATGCACATTTTTATAAAGTTCCAGAGATATAAAATTCCTAGGATCATAAAAAATACTTTGTTGCAAAAATGTTGATTAAGTTGGCTTATCCACAGATGGGGGTGAATTTTACATAAAGTTGGCCAATGTGTTTTATTGGTAGTAGTATGTAAATAAAACAATTTAAGTATAGAATTTGGTGTTGGATGTTATTTCTAATTTGCTGCAATATTTTGTCAATAACGGAAAGTAGGAGCAAAGATTTCTCCACAACTTTTTAAATAGTATTTAAAGTTTTATAGTTATATAAGTAGTATTTTAATTTTTAGAATATGCGTACAGTACGTGCTTTTCATTTAGAAATTTCAAGGTTTTTTACCACTTTTCATTAAAATGCATACATATTCTTTATTACAAACTTTTTCTTTGTAAGCTTTCACTGAAGAGCTAAAAACATTCTAGGAATTGATTCTAGATTTATCCAATTTGCTTTCCAGACGCAGCAGTCCCTAGAGAAAGTTCGAATGAAGATTCTTTGCTAGAATGGCTGCACGCCTTTCGTCTTACTGGCAACGCGACTCGAAGTGGACAAAATGGGAACCAAACCTGGAGAGCTGTGAGTCGAACAAACCCAAGCAGTGGAGAGTTTCGGTTTAGTCTGGAAATTCACATAAATCATGACAGTAGAGGATCTGAAATTCATGGGAGAGATGTTATGGGTATTTCACTTCCAGATACTGATAGAGGTCACACTAGAAATAGGCAACAGAGATCAGCTAGTCCTGTGGCTAGGAGAACAAGAAGCCAAACCTCAGTGAATTCCAGTGGTGGTAATTCCAACCTTCCAAGGATTAGGCTTGGGTCAAGGAGGCAGAATTCAGTCAGTGGATCTCACTCAGCACTGGGAAGGTTAAGAAATAGAACTGGGAGAAGAGTTGGTGTCCCTAGAAGTAGTGCTTCACGCAGTAACTACAGTAGTCAAGCAGGTCAGTCAGTTGGTAGTGAACTCAGGCAAAGGGAGGGGCAGAGATTTGGAGCAGCACATATTTGGGAAAACGGGGCTAGAACTAATGTTACAGTGAGGAATACAAACCAAAGATTAGAGCCAATAAGATTGCAGTCTACTTTCAATAGCAGAAGCCGTTCACCAATTCAGAGACAGAGTGGCACGGTTTATAATCCCCAAAGGGAAAGTAGACCTTCACAGCAAACTGTTAGGAGGTCTGTGAGGAGAAGAGGTATAACTCAGGTCTTTTTAGATCCAGATAGAGAACATAGCGGCACTGCATATTCCCAATTCTCTAATTCAAGACTTGTGTCAAGAATAACAGTAGAAGAAGGGGAAGAATCCAGCAGATTCTTGCCCGCTGTGAGACGGCATCCAACAATTACACTGGACCTACAAGTAAGAAGGATTCGTCCTGGAGAAAATAGAGATCGGGATAGTATTGCAAACAGGACCCGATCTAGAACAGGGCTAGCAGAAAACACAGTCACTATTGAAAGTGATAGTGGAGGCTTTCGCAGAACTATTTCTCGTTTAGAGCGCTCAGGCATTCGAACCTATGTTAGTACCATAACAGTTCCTCTTCGGAGGATTTCTGACAGTGACCTTGTTGAGCCATCCTCACTGGCTCTTCGGTCAATTTTTAGGCAGATCATGACTGGGTTTGGAGAACTGAGTTCTCTAATGGAGACTGAGTCAGAGTCAGAGTTAGAGATTCAGAGACATGGTCAGCATTTGCCAGAACTGAGTAGTTTAGGTATAGTTGATTACACCAGCCTGCACAGTGAAAGTTCCTTTCAATACAGGCAAGCCCAAGGAGACAGCACTGAAATGCTAGGTGAAAATGAGTCCATTGAGCCTCAATATAGAACCAGTGACGGTAGGAGTATTAGGCAGTTGCAAAATTCAAACAGTTTTGTAGAAACTGGAACACTACCTATTCTTCGCCTTGCACACTTCTTTTTATTAAATGAAGGTGATGATGATCAAATACATGGTTTAACCAAAGAGCAGATTGACAATCTTTCCACCCGAAACTATGGGCATAGTGGTATTGACAGTGAAATAGGTAAGGTTTGTAGTGTTTGTATCAGTGACTATGTAACTGGAAACAAGCTCAGGCAGTTACCTTGTATGCACGAATTTCACATTCACTGTATTGACCGATGGCTGTCAGAGAATTGCACTTGTCCAATCTGTCGGCAGCCTGTATATGCTGGGTCTGACATAGCAAATGACGGGTGAAATGATGGAATCTATTCAAAGTTGTATTTTAATAGAGTTGAGTGTTTAAACATTCATTTGTTGAGTTGTAATGAGCTAACCAGGATGAAAAATAAGATTATAGTTTGAACTATTTTTGTGTGCTTTTTTTAACTTGTTAAAAGAGAAGAATTTATATAAATTTAAAATAAAAATGTTAAATTATCCAAAAGTACAGAATAGTTAATATTGCTAGAACCAAATAATCTTTAAATTGTTTTTATTTTGGTAATTTTGTCATGCTAAGCACTTTTGTATCTGCACAGTTCAGTGAGTTAAAATTCTTTCCCTTTTCTTAATATTATTGTAGACTTCACTTGGGTTTTTAAGTTTCTTAAGCTTGGTACTATGTCTAGACATTAGTGTCTAAGCCTTTCAAAGAATGTTTGGCAGAATGTTTACTATGTATATTTAAGTTACCTGAAATGATAATATGCAGCATACCTTATGTGTATATATAGATACATAATTTTAAGGTTAAAATATACTGTCTTAAAAACTGCAAGTCTGATTGTTATTTAAGCTTTTAAGCTAATACTGCATATGGCACAATGTTTAATATTGACAAGATCATCTCTGAAAGTAGATTAAGATATAACTTTGAAATAGAGATAATTTACTGAAGCGTCTCTGACAATCTGATTTATTAGCAAGCAATATGTAATACTGAATTGAGTATTTCTTCATTCAGAAATGGAACATGGGGAATTTAGAACATACAGATTATTTGAGTTCAGCTTTTTTTTTGAAATGTGCAAAAATTTCTTTGGGTTACGTGAGGTATACAGTATGCATGGTTTCTCAAATTTAGTTTAAAAAATCTAAAAATAAGTTACACAGAATCAGATGCATAGATAACACATTAAGTTCATGTGGAGACCAAGTAACGCCAAATAATGTGAAAGAGAAAACCTTAAGACAATGTAGAATTTATCTGAACATAAAGTATGCATTGAAGATCTATTTCTACCAATAAATAACTAAAACAAAGACTGTATGTGAGCTATTTTTGTTTTTTTTGTTGCATCATTGTGGCACATTCATTCCCCTAGATTTTGATTTCTGTAGTGAGCACTGCAGGTGCAGTAAGTGTTGAGGTTTCCCCTGATGGTGGATGGTCCTTATATTCATGGAAAAGATATATTTGCTCTTAGAAGTTAAAAATCAATTTACGGGTTATAGTTCTTCCTTTCATGTTTGCTTATGAATATATAACAATTTTCTTGTGCTGATACTGCATGTACAAAAGGGCAGAATCATAGGAACAATACTGGAAGGCCAGATTCTGAGAGATTTAGGAACATTTTCTCATTTTTTTTTTTTTCTGTTTAGTGATTATATTTAATTCATTAAGTTAGTGGTTAGGGGGCACCTTTAACACCAACTGAAAGATTTTTGTAAGAGATACAATGTTGGGGTAAATAACTAATGTAGGTCAGTTTTATTTATTTTTTTATTTTATTTTTTTTCCGAGACAGGGCTGGCCCCGAACTCACAGCAGTCCTCTTACCTCAGCCTCCCATGTGCTGGGATTACAGGCATGTGTCACCATGACTGACTTTTTTTTTTTTTTTTTTTTTGTGACAGGGTCTTGCTATGCAGTTCAGATTGGCCTTGAGCTCACTTTGTAGCCTAGGCTGGTCTCAAACTCACAACAATCCTCTTGCCTCAGCCTCCCGAGTGCTGGGATTACAGGCGTCTGCCATCATGCCCGGCTAGTTTTAGAGCACAGGAGTAGTTGATTTGGGCCTGATTTCATGGTTTTATATACCAGACTAAGGAGTTTTTATTTTACCAAACAGAAGTTAGATAATTACATCCCTTGGTGATTTTAGTGGCAAATAATGAGATCATTTTCCGTATCTCAGGAAGATACAGCCTACTGAACACAATGAAAAGGAGAGAAATGGAAAGCAAAGAATCTGGTGAAAGAGCTATTGTGACTAAACATCATTATTAGTTTTATTATTGGTCACCATCATCATAATTAACATAGGATAATGAAACTGGAAGAAAAAACGTCAAACTTTTTCAATAAAGGTGTAGTACAGAGGTAGAAAGTTACGTAGTCAGAGGCTGGGGATTTAGCTCAGCAGCATAAGTACCTTGCAAGCAGGCAGTCGTGAGTTCAATCCCCAGTACCGATGATTTAAAAAAAAGAAACATCACAGAAGAAGAGAGAACCACTGAGTGGAGGAGGAAGTGCTGACACAAATCAGTGTCAGTGAAGTACAGCAATTTAAAACATCTTATGCGGGGCGGGGGAGGGGAAAAAAAAACATGCATGGACTAATCCATGCGTCTTGCACATGTTTCAGTGTTAGCGTTTGTTCCTAAGAGGATGAGACACTACATTGAGCATTTAGGTCCTATATGGGATATTCTTTAGAAAAGTCTAACTCCCCTGGTCCAGTCAGAAAAACTCTGGACAAATAAAAAAGGAAATGCAAATAAAGGAGAGATTAGGAATAAAGTATATTGATTCTTGGTTTTGCTTGGCTTTTTACAAGATATGATACACTCGCAAACATGAGAAGAGGTTACAAACAGGCACCTGAAACAGAGCTAGGATGGTATACTACATGGAAAATTCCAATAGCAGCAGTACAACTTAGTGAATTTTGTAAATTGGCATCCCAGTTGAGAACAAAGGAGGGGTTTTCTTTAATGTATTCATTCATTTCCCAGTAAACAAGACTGATAGATACAAAAGCCCATTAATTTATTTGTAGCTTCTACCTAGCAATGATTGTACCCTTTGTGGTTCTAATATAGAAAGAAACAAACGGTCTGAAATGCTTCACTTGAATATTATGTTCCGTGTCAGGTCCATGATGCTTATTCTTTATAGTGTAACTGAGTTGCAGACTTCTGTTTTGAGATTGCCAGCTTCCCAGCTGCTCTCCCATGGTTTATATTCTTTTGTCTTGTTTTATTATTTCCCAGATTTTTCTAGTTACAACTAGTATTATTTTATTCCTTGCTATGAGGCTTCTTTACTGCACACTTTTTTGTTTTTAGACAGGGTCTTGCTACAGTCCAGGCTGGCCTTGAACTCACTGTGTAGCCCAGACTGACCTTGCGCTTGAGGCAGTCATCCTGTCTGAGCCTCCTGAGTTCTGAGATTACAGGCATGTGTCACCATGTCTGGTTTAGTATTGTTATGATCCTTACTGTTTTAAGGTCATGTTCATTTCAGTATTTAACGTGGATTCATACCTTAAACCTCCCAATATCTTGAAATATTCTCACTTAATGTAGTAACTGGCAGAATTAAGAGAATAAGTTACTGCATATCCATTTACCTCCAAAGTTTGTGCTTTTCTCACTATGCTGCATTCTGGAGAAGTAGAAATGCAGTCCAGTTTACTTCTCCCTGAAGATATTTTTCAAATTTTATAACTTTGGTTGTCTTCCTAATTACTGTAATTTCCACATGCAGATAATTCTGCATCTCATGAATGGAGAATGTCTGAAAGACACAAAGCAGAATCTGGATGAGGAATCCAGAAACAGAGATGGAATGGACATCTGAAGGTGCTGTGTTAAGAGTGAGTTAATAAAAGCTGGGGGTTTAGCTCAGTGGCATAAGCACTTGCCTGGCAAGCGTGATATCATGAGTTCAATCCCCCTGAAAAAAGAAAAAAAAAATGAGTTAATAAGCTGAGTCTGAGGCATTTTCATGTCTTGCTCCCAGATGAAAGCATCTAATCAGTTTTTAATCTTGATGCATCTTTTCATTTGAATAATCTATGGCTAGGGGAAGAGGAATCTATGGAAACATGAAGGAGGTAGCAGGCCCTCTTAGATCCTCTCCCTCGATCTTGTGTAACACTGAAAGTCAGACACCTGGGTGTTTGTGTTTTAACATGATTTATCAGGAAGGCAGGTCTGTCTGTCATTAAGAGCATCATTCTGTGTTCAGTGGATGAAATGAGTGTCAGCAGGGTTTCTTTCCCAGCCTCTAGAGCCAGGCTGTGAGTCCTTTCCAGTGAGTATGTTAGTCTCTGTTTATACTGCCTTTAAAATTGGGGAAGTTCTTAATTACTTTCAGCAAATTTTGAATATTAAATCTCTGAAGACTGAATTGGCCCTTCTTCCGGAAAATAAACACTTCATATGTGTGTGCGGGTACATTTGTGAGTGTGTGTATATGTTTCTGTTAACACTTCATTTGAGGATGGAGTAATCCTCTTATATATTGCCTCTTACACGTGATTGTAAAAATGCGCCTACTTAATCCAGCTATTTTCTATGCAGTGTCAAACATGTTCATCTCTCTCAGTGAGAAGCAATCCAAAATCACGTAAAATTTCTGTGTTGTAAAATACCATAAGTCAGCCAGGTCTAGGTTCTGGGTAGCATGCAGTCTTTTATTGTCTTGGACTTTATCAGTTTTAATTGTCCCTCATAAGCATCCTGCAGCTTATGGCACAAACAATAAAAGAAGCTTCTATTCAGCTTCAGTGAAAACCAAAAAGAAGGAAAGAAGTGCTATGCTTTTATTACTGGTACTGAATATGTGGCATGTATTACTGCACAAGCCTAGCAGGACGAATAACAGCAGTAATGAACCTCATGAGCTTTCTCTTTGTTGACTCATTTATCTGGATGCAGAGTAAATTGTTTGGTCAGCCAACTAGATTGACACAGGTGCTAAGTTAGGGCCACCTTCAGAAAGGCACGAAGGGACGGTTTCCCCACTGGTGCAGGGAGTGGTGGTGGTGGGCAGGGGATTGAGAGGATGCCTTTGAATGGCTTGGTTTTATTGTGGTGTTACTGCTTGTTTCAAGGACTGTCATAATGCTGAACAGCAGGCCAAGGGTGTCTTAGATCATTAGCTTATTAACAGTGTTATTTGAAGTCTATATCCAGTGCCAACAATCTTGTATTCTTAATTTACAAATGGAATAATTTTCACAACACCTGTTTTTGTTATCATTATTTCTTTGTAGTTCTTTTTGTTGTTTTGTTTTTAGGAAAATCTTTTTTTTTTTCCCCTGTGCTGGATACCAAACCCAAGACCTTACCCATGTGCTGGCAAGCACTCTACTACTAAACCATATCCCCAGACCTCATGGAATCTTAACTAAAAATATTTTGCTCTTAACAGAGTTGGGAGCCTCTATTTAATAGTCCCTTGAGTGTCATCCTTGTCCCTTGATTGTATTTGCTATTGTCCCCATGTACTTTTGCCATAGGAATATAGTATCTTCATTTTTGTCTTTGGGTAAGGATAATATTTGTACTCTTAACAAGTCGAGATCAGTTTATGCAAACTAGTCACTTAACTTTTGTTTTCCCAATGCTGGGGATTGAGCACAGAAGCTTTCACACTGAGCTATATACCCAGCCCTTTTTTATTTTTTATATTGAGGTCAGGTCTTGCTAAATTGCTCAGGCTCAAACTTGTAGTCTTGCCTTAGTCACCCAGAGTGCTGGGATTATAGATGTATGTTCCCATGCCTAGCTTCAATTACATTTTTATTCCCCATACTGAATTGCTAGGTATTGTTAGCATAAGGTTGATGATTTTTATTTTATTTTACCAAAGTTGATTAGAAGTAAAAATTTCCATGTTGAGGACCTCCAGGGTGATCTGCAGTTTTGGTGGATTCACTAGGACTTGTAGGAATTAGCATATAGCTGTACTAACAGCTTAGATTTATTACAGGGAAAGGACAGAAACACAATCAACAAAGAAGAACAGTGCATGGAACTAAATCCAGAGGAAGCCTGGCAAGCTTCTAGGGGTCCTGTTCCAGTGAAGTCACACAACAGACAATTCCTCCAGCACCAATCGTCTACCAGACATACTTCCTTACAGTTCTGGGGCCCAAGATTTTGAATGGGCTAGAATCAACTAGCAAGTATCAAAATTCCAGACTCCCAGGGGGAAAATAGATGAGCATAAATCACACTGTTTGCACAAGCATTTTAGGCACAGAGGGGCAAGCTTATCATTTGGAGAATAGCTAGGACACTTTCCA